ACCACATTTCAATAGTCTAGTAACAAACTAGATTTAAAAAATTAGCTTTCACTGTCCATTTACAATTCCTACAGTTTTATCAGCATATTCCTACAAACACTAGTCTTTCTGATAAGTAAAAACACATGTGCAACAGTTAAATTTCGCCTCATCTGTCGCCAAGTATTCTGTGCCTCACCTGTGTTCCCTTTGTTATTTCAGCTTCACAAATTTTTTCCAGGCTGAGTGACTGACCCCCTTAAAACTACATCTTTGTGGGTGATGGACTTACTACATTTATTACATTCTACTGCCTGTATGAATACAATACATTCTCCTATGTGTATCATTCTCTTCTGTATTTGATTAATGAAGCCTACCGCAAATGTGATTCATCAATCAGGCAGTAACCTATATCTTCACTTACCATCTATTTCATCTTCCCTTCCTTCCCAAACTGATATCTCCAGGAGTGATTTTATTCTGTATTGACTGATGAAAACCCGCAGCGCCGTCAAAACATTTCAATAAAGATAACTAGTGTTGCACATGTATTGTATACCATTTATATGATACTGACCCATGAAGCACATCACTCTTAACAGGTCCGGGACCATTTCGATTTTTTCAAAATTCTTGCGTATCAGTCAGCCAGACACAATCCGGGAATCCCCGTAAAGGTGACTCAGTTTACAAAAGACTTCCGGCTTTGATTTTTCTTTCGTTATATAATAGATAAAACTGACATAAAAAACAGAACAGACTAAATTTAAAATAAAGGTGTAACAAGGCTAGCTAAACGGCACGCTAGACCAGCTTTAAAAGTAAAATATTCCAAACCAAATTTTCCTGAACAACATAACCCGTAAACGATGTAGTTACGGGCCAGATTAATTTTCCTTTAAATTTATTATTATTTAAACATGGGGGGGCGCTAAACTCGTAGGAATTTATACAGCGCATGTGGGGGATGGGAGGCCTTCAGGCTCAATTCAGGGAACTGGAGCACACATCCAATTCCCTAGATCAAGAGCACCTCACCAGCATCAAGGAACCTCCTTGAGGGGATTTTCTTTAAAGCACAATATTTTTATATTCATTGAAAACGGCTAAACCCGTAGGGGATTATACAGTTCCTGGGAATGTTAAGTATTCGGGTTTTTCCCCCATAGAGACAGTAGCTCTTTACCCTTTAAGGGTAAAGCAGAGTAGACATCAAAAAAAAGAAATAAGGCACATAATTATACGTATACCAGATCAACTTTGATAAGCCAAGAAACCGGTTTTCACTTTTTACACAGCCCTGCCGTATGTTCTTCATGAATAGCTAGGACTAAGAAAAGCAATATAGCTTAATATTAAATTAACTTTTGTGACCACAAAAACACCAAAACACTTATTTTAATCTTTTTAAAGGTTTTTTAATGTTACCGTTATACGAGGCAAACGTGTCTGGCAGATATTCAGCTCAAGAACAAACAATGGACGTGTTCAGAGAACATGATCTCCCACATGTCCATATATATGAAGACTGAGAGCTTTCACGTTGCAAAATGGAGGGGCATAATAATCACATATCAACAGGGGCAGATCTACTATGAAACTACTGAAGCTTAATCTTCAGGGGCCCCAATCCCGGAGGGGCCCAGAAGCGACTTAATCCACACTGCTAAAAATTTTTTTTAGGTCTACTGTATGAGAAAGGTTTTTAAAAAATAATATAGTGTAATTCAATACAAAATAAGTTTAAATAAAATTAAAAGATTATTAAAGTATATGTAGGCTAGCCGTTGCGGTTGCGAAGGGGCATCCGTAACAGTTCAAAGATTCAGGACCCCAAAATGTAGGTTCGCCCACCGCATATCAGAACTGGTAACCGTGAATGTTAGATGCGGATATATTAGCCTAATTAAATATGCTAGTTTTTACCAGTTCACGTTAGATTTTATTCGGATAAGCTAGAATAAGTTAAGTTTGGGTTTTGTGAAGTGCGCTTAAAAAAATATTTGCCAAGTTGTTGGCTGCATTTTGTTTAGTTAGTAAAGCAAGGACGTAGATCAGTGGTAGTGTCTGACTCATAATTAAAAGCCAAGGGTCCGATTTCCAGGCGAAGCGAGAATTAAGGTGAAATCTTCCTCCTGAGGGCTACCTACCAGTGAATACGTAGGTACTTGGGTGGTTCGCATCCCAAAGGACTCCTATAGAAGTAAGCCACAATGTCTGGCTTTCTAGAGTAATCAGGGCTGGTAATACGAAAGAAAGTCGTACTCTTCATATCTCCACTTCATCTAACATGGTCACGAATGCTTGCTGGATAGTGGATACTTAGGTTCCCCAGGGGGGGTGCCAGAATTTCTGTACTGGGTGGGGGTAAGGTTTAGGGATGGTTTTCTGCCTTTAAGGGAGTTAGGGGGGGATAGGAGACCTCATTTGAGGCAGCAGCATAATTATTACTATTCTTGTTTGGAGGCTGAGGGAAATTTTTGAGAGCCCGAAGCCCCCGCTCCCCCCATACCCCTTGGCGCCGCCACTGTTCCTACTTCTCAAAATACCCGTTACACCTCCATTGGGGTTTCCCTTCACCCCACACAACCGTACATCCGCTCCTGATTTATACACTAAAGAACTATCGTTCCATTTTTTTTCTAAATAACCAACACATCTCAACAATCATCCCTTCAGCTCCCTCAATTATATACTTTTCATTACTACACCACAGACTTTTAATTTATTCACGTTCTATTTCGTGCGCTACTGGAACACCGCACACTGATCTCAAGATATCTCCATTGCCTCCAGCCTCCTTGCTGCAACACTTTAAAAGAATATGCCCTTACTTATACCTGAGATCGTGGAATGCCAAGTATTGTAAACGCTCTGGGAAATTTTCACCCGCTTGTCCGGTAGGTGCAACACATGAGAGCTTCATTCCCACTTACTGGAGAAACTGATTGGCTTTCCTGAATAGTGGGCCACTCGTGGACTGTCAAGGTGCACATCTCAGGAGAGAGGTCAGGCACCTTGTAAGACGGTATACCTGGAGAGGGTTTTGGGGATCCAACGTCCCTGCGGCCCGGTCCGTGACCAATAGAAGACATCATGGTCATTAATTAAAAACACATTCTCTGTTACATCTTTTTCAGTTCAGTTTCCTCAAGAACTTTTTACAACAGTCTGGCATCCCTGAGGTGGTTTCCCCAAAGGGGAGCTATCAGTGGCATCGATGGCTGAGACTTCTAGAACTGATTTAAAACTGCAACAATGGTTTCTATGTAGGAGTGTGTAACAACTAGGCGAGTACGAATAGCTATGAAGCGCGTTTTGTCTCACCCCAGCAGACGGAGGATCAAGCCTCCATCAGTCTTGCTCTGAATGACCTACACGGGTTTAGCGCTTAACATAAATATAATAATTGCATAGGTGTAATTTTATCCACAAATTATTTAAACACTACACATTAAGATAGTATGTTACAAGCACAAAGATTTGACCAGGGTGTCCTGTGCCTCGGTTGACAGCGCACTCGGTCATACTGAGGGTCTATGGTTCGCTCTCCCGGGACGAGTGGAAACTCTGGGCTGTTTCCCTACATTTGTTGTCTCTGTTCGCTTAGCAGTAATACGTAGGGACCTGAGTGTTAATCGACAGACAATCCCCGATGACGCAAAAACTTTATTAAGTTATCCTGGGTGACTATCCCTCTTGGTTAAAAATTCGAACAAATCTTATTTTACAGTCTCTGGGGATGTGGAAAGCATTCAGACTCGTTTCAATAACCCTCACCAGCATCAAAACCTCCTTGGGGAGAGGGGAGAATATCACTGATAGCCACTAGGACTTCCACACGAAATGTTCATATAGGGAAGTTAACCTCGCTCCTTCAGGGGTAACGCAGCTTATTAAAGAAGTTATGACATGGAAACCTTGGATGAAAGAAAGAATTCCGACAAAATACTCAGGTATCCTCTCTCAGTAGATACCTAATAAATGAGGATCACACCTTCAATTTTTCTCGTGTAATAGTAACAGGGAATACCGAATAGTTTTAACAATGTTAAACTTTATTCAACAATGTTAAACTTTATTCAAAGTTTTTTAAACAAAAATATCGTAAATCATAAATGGGAAGAACATGAACATGTACTTTAAGATTATTATAGTTATGGAGATGAGCTATATCCGTAAGGATTGTGTAGCACCTAGGGAACATTAGGTGCCATCCAAGGAAGCAGAGCAGTTCAAATTCCCTGGATCAAGAGTCCTTCACCGGCAGTCAAACTTTATTCGAGAACTTATAATATTCACAAAAAAAGTTAAACCTACAACAGTAACAGCGGCGTTTGAGATCGCCAGGATCCATAATATATTTTAGATGATATACGTAATTGTTTTTATTAGGCTGCCTCCTGAATATCACTCTGATTTTTAAATCTTGAGCTATAATCGAGTGCATCCTCATTTTGATTTTCTAGTTAAAAACAGATTATACAATATACACGATTATACACATCTCCACTTAAGGAATATTAAAAGGCCTAAGATGACAACTTGTATTGCACAGGTAGTTTACTACAGCACTGTTGTTATACTTGGTGCTCATAATTACTAATGCAAGAAATGTGCTACATTTGCGCAGTGCGTTAAACCCATATGGGTTGGACGTGAATGCCGTACAAACACTACTAATCTTTTACATCTTTAATGTGGCGAGGGCTGCTCCTGCTCCAAGTAACTTGAGTTTTTTCCCCTTCCTTGCATCAACCCTGATTACCTCTCATTCTCCAGGCGCTCTATGACCCATACGGGATGAGTGCTTCCCCATAAATATAATCATAAGAAGCATATTCACTGAACATACTGAATAGTTTATCATTATTAAATTAATGGGGCTGAGCGCTAAACCTGAAGGGGGCAGTTTCTAGGGAATGGAGGGGATCAGGTTTGATCCAAGGAAGAGGCCCCTCATTAGCATCAGGGAACTTAAGGGGAAAGAGGGTAGGTAATACTTTAAGAGTACTCACGAAGAGGACGACTGAGATAGCAGTAAGAACATGTCGCAGCCATCCAATCATCTTGTTCTCCATGCTGAACATGTTGAAGCGTTTCAGGTTCATGTTCTTCCTAGTTCTCTAAGACTATGGCCACACTATGTAGAAGCAGTATATAAAGGCCAGGGCCTCCGTGCCTTCACCTGTTCTCTACGCCACGAGTTTGTATATATGGAAACTTTTAGAAAGTATTTATTCAAATATAAACCACATAGGGTAAACTGATTCAAGAATCATAAGCCAAGATAAGGCTAACGAGCTAAATTAATGTTAGTTTAGGCGTTTCACTGATGAGGGGCAGCAGAGCTCAGCCGTACACCCTCTCACTCCGAAGCTGTGGCGAGCACTGACTGACGTCACTGAGTGTAGTCACTCTCGTATGAAGCATTCTTCATTACAACTCTTGAAGATATGGATCCATTTGCTTTCACTGCACCCAAGCACAAACAAGCCTTTCAGACTTCTTACATCAACTTTTTTTTAGTTTCTTTCCTTGGGCAGGTGTTGTGCGGTCACTGCACATTCCTATCCGTTATCTTAAAAAATACTACTTAAAAAGGACCCCGCTGGAAATAAGTCACTTTGTCGGTTATCCTAGGTAATTTACACTGTGAAAATTGTACTTATGTGTACCTGTGCCTAAATAAACTTGCTTTGGGGTATATTAATGGCGGCTGGGAGTGACCACGCAGAACTGTGAGCCACCCATTCTCCACTCATCCACCGCTGCTCCCAGCAAACAGCTGAGAGTAATAACCACACGTTGGCGAGTGGGTGAAGAGGGCAGTGAGAGTAATTTTAACGCACCGTTACGTACATCATCCAAGAATAACGGGAAACACAAGGTCACATCCGATGCATTTTCTTTGTAACTTGTCATGATTGTGACCAGATCTACCTGGAGTTCATTACCTTTGTAACTTGCTCACCTATCAAAACTTAGGGGCCCAGTCCCTGGACCCATTATGTACCTCTGTAATCTTTTGACTACCGCCAACAGGATGGGTATGGGGTGCATAATAAACATATTAAACTAAATGATGTTGTGGAAAATACTGTATATATTTTCCAGAAATACAGTAGTTATATGTAAATAGATGGCCATACTGTATTTAATAATATTATGTCATAGAAAACGGAAAGCCTGCGTCTGGGCAGAAGGCAGAGTCGCCATTGTTTGTTTTTGAATTGAGTAACAGACATTAATAATGGGATGAATTTTTCGTGCTCTAGAGGTTAAATTTGGGCTGACACCTCTCAAATAGGAGGTGAAATTGTTGGATGTGCATTCCTGCATAACTTAAGATATCAGGCGACAGGACAGGACAGCTCCAGGAACCTCAGATAAGCTATTTAGATTTATGTTATAATTCTGGCCAGTATTTTCATAAATTTAGTTAGTGAGGTTTTCTGAGTATGATACAACTTAATCTCCCAGTTTAAATTGGTGAGTGTTATGATTTTAGATTTCTTTTGGGTTTGTATAATGGGGTTTATTTTTTATTATCACCCGCCGATTTCCACCAAGCAGGGGCCGAAAAAGAAAAACTTTCACCACATTCACTCCATCACGTCTTGCAGAAGGGTGCTTTTCACTACGTTTTAAAACTGAACATTAAACCCCCCTTTCAGAGTGAGCACGTAACTCCATTTTCCAGAACTAAGGCCCCCGGTTTCCCTGAACCCTTTATAAATGTTTTTGTTGCTCACACTCCAACAGCACGTCAAGTATTAAAAACCATTTTGCTCCCTTCACTCCTATCAAACCCCCACGCACCTGCTGGAGTCCAAGCCCCTCGCAACAAACCTCCTTTACCCCCTCCTCCAACCTTCTGGGGGGGGGGCCGAACCCCCCCCCGCCTTTTTCCCAAATACAGACTGATACATCTTGAAGTCATTCTGTTTCGCTCCATTCTCTCTACAGTCCGAACCACTCAACAACCCTTCCTCACCTCTGGGCAACAGTTTTGTTTAATCCCGCACTCCTCCTAACTTCCAAACACATTCCTGCATTTTTAAATTCCCCACACACATTGCCTCAGACATGACATCCCACTGCCTCAGCCTTCTCCTCGCTGCAACATTCAAAACCCACCTTCACACCATTAAGAGCGTTGGTAAAACTATACTCTCTTTCATTCCCTCTTTGCCTCCCAAAGGGCAAAGTTTTTTGTCTCCACAGACCCTAATGCACCACTCACTCTTTTTCCCTCATCATTCTAAGATTTTCCCCCCTCTTCTAGACCCATCCGCGACCTCCTCCCAAAAAATCTGAAAAACTTCCCTCCTCCTACTCCTCCCCCAAATTATATTCAAACTTTCATCACCAAACTTTTTTTTATCCCATAAACCTTTCCTTCCTGTTTTCACCTTTATTTCTTTTTTTTGCACACCCTACCAAATTCATCCACCAATCTCTCAATTTCTCTTCGGGAATCCCCCAAAGAGCCATGCCCTCAGCAAAGAGCAGCGTGACAACCCCCACTTTTTGTGTGATTCTTTTTTTTTAACCCCACCCTCTTGCAAGACCCCGCATTTTCTTTTCTTACAACCCCCTCTTAAAATTATTAAACAACCCGGTGCCCTCACACATTTGTCTAAGGCCTACTTTTCTGGGAAAAAATTTCCCCTTTCCTACAACTCTAACTTTGAGCCTCACTATCCTCTAAAAACTCTTCACGCTTTTATAACCACCCCTACACCATAAATTGCAACATCTGCCACATTGCCCCCCTTCCCCCCGTCAACGCCTTTTCCAAATCCATAAACCACAAAAACCTCTTTAGCCTTATCTAAAAATGTTTTTCTTATTTGTTTCACTGTAAACACTGTCCACCAACCCCCCCTTTCCTAAAAACCTCCCTTTCCTCTGCTATCCTATTCTCCCTCTTACCTTAATTTTTCAAATTTAACTTACCCTACCTTTACCCGGGACACTCAACGACTTTCCCCCTATAATTTTTGCACTCTCTTTTATCCCCCCTTGCCTTTTTACAAAAGAACTATGCATCTCCTGCCAATCCTATACCTTACCCTTTCCAACATTTTTTAAAAAATTTGCACCAACCCACTCCAAAACTAACCCCCACCTTTTTTTAACATTTCTTTTTTTATCCCATTTTTTATCCCATCATTTTTTAAAATTTAATAAACCGCCACAAACTTTATATTTCCCACATTCCGGGGTGATGTATTTTTCATTTGAATTAATGGTCCAGAAACTTGTGGATAGGGACGTGGTAGATCGAAGGGGATTTTTTTTTTCGACCTGGGGCCCCAAATTTCCCCCTACTGTCAAATGATAATAATAATTACTATTTTCATTTTTTGTTTTGTAATAAGATACATCAAAAAAAATTTAATTTTTCCCAGATGTATTCCCGACATGGGACATTATTAGGTAATTTTAAAATTAAAAAAATGCTAACTCAGGCATGCGGGGGCCTTTAAAAAAATGGGAGACAAATTTTTTTGACAAGGATTATATTAGGGGAACGTAAACCCATAAGTTCATAGTTAGTTAATTTAATGGAAAAACCCCAAAAAATTTATAAGAAGGGGTGGAAACAAAAAGCTTGTAAATGGGGAAACAAACGAGTTCACCCAAAGGGGTAAAAATGTGCAGTCACTTTAATCAAATGGTCTAAAAACGTGACTAGTACGATGAAGGCTGCCATACTACAGAATAAGTAGAAAATCCGGTGTACCACAAAGCTTCAAACTATTCATAAGCTGGATAACGGTGTTAAAATGCTAAATTTCATAACGTCCTAGTTGACAGTGATTCTTGCAAAGTAAAAGGTCTATTTGTTGAACCATCCTTACATGTTGTAAGAGATAGTAAGATCCATTTCTTTCTAGCCAACACTTCTGGTCACAGTGTTCGTCTCAGAACAAATATCAATCTTGTTGACCTTGTTCACTATCCTTACCCTGTTCAGGTAGAGGATGAGTTGTCACCTGACCAGTGGGTCGGTGCTATTTCTACCTACCGGGGAGACCTCATCCCTTCACTGGATCAAACGTTCCAACCATTTAGGAGAAAGAACTTAGCTTCCTACTGACCTTCCCAGATTAAGTTCAGTGTTGTTGACTCTGTTTGAACAAACGTCGTAAAGCCCATTGCCTACCAGGTGAGTAAGATGGGTATAACGAACTTATAGTCCCAATCGTATTCCCACTTGAACCTTTACTCTAGACCATCTATATACCTGCTACAGAATGCCTCATTTCACAAGTTGCTGTCTCAGAAGAATTGATCATCAAATGCTTGATGGAGTTATTTGCACCTAGCAATTCACTCATGGAATGCACCCTGTGATCCTAGTACCTAAGAAGGATGGTACTTGCGCCCAGTGATGACTTTAAAGGAAGTTAAATCGAAAACTATTCCAGATCGCTTCCCACTCCCTGTACTGGGTGATCTTTACGTAACATCGGAGATACCAAAGTCTTATCAAACCTGACTTGTTTACAAGGTGGTTTTGGCAAGTCCCTCTTCATGAGGACAGCCAAGAGCGAATACTGCATTCACCACTCTACAGTCGATTATCACTTCCTTCCTCCGTATGGCGTTTGGATTACGATCCTCCCCTAACACGTTCCAAGCTCAGACAAATATCATTTAGAGGTCTCATAGGTAATGCACTTAAGGTGTACTTAGATGACGTAATCGTCATATCTAAAGACGGTGGATACACACTGAAAAGACTTGATGTAGTTACTTGGTAAGCTTGAAGAAGCAATTTAAAAGATCAAACCTGTCTAAATGATGTCCAATTTTTCTGATCAGAAATTAAGTTTCTTGGTCACGTTTCACTCCTAGAGGGTTTACGACTGACAAGTAACGCATACTAAATCTTCCAACTCCAAAACAGCTGATGCCATAAGACCTTTGTGGCTTAGCAAGGATTCATATAGATCTTTCATTGTCAACTTTTTCTTCCATAGCTGCTCCTCTAACTGAGTTTGCTTAAGAAAGATGCTCCTTTTCGTTTGGACTTACCGCAAGAAAGAGCATTCCAAACTCTAAAAGAAAAGCTAACATCGCACCAATTTGAAATTTCAGATATTTTCTAAGCCCTTCGATCTGACACTGATGCTAGTTTTCTATAGGCAAATAGTGCCATACTAGCTCAGAAGACTGATGCTAAGTACAACGCAGTTTTGCATGCTAACCGAGTCCTTACGAAGGCTGAACGTAATTATACAAGTTACTGAGCAAAAGCTCTAGCAATAGTATGGTCTTTAAAGCACTTCCTAGACATTATTTTATCATACTCCTGTTCATGTCTTGACAGACCATGCACCACGATACCTTTATCCCAGAACAAACAACCTACTGGAAGGTAGCCAGATAGACC